CCTGCTCTTGGTATTACTAGTCCTGAGAGACATAATCTCACTCTTGGTCCCTTTAGTAGTCCTGGGAGATTATAGTCTCACGTAATCTCTTCCTGAATAAAGCACCCTTTAACAATTCATGCCATGTCATCTATAGGTTAATATCTTCGCCTCCTTATTTAGATTTATATTGCTTCTTCATGTTAGTGTAGAAAGGACACAATGATAGATTTTCAGCTTGTTGGTGAATGATATTTTTCTGGCAGGGTATACTGCATTCTGCTTTACATAATCAATATTGGAGGTTAATTGATCCTCAAGGCAAACCAACAGGAGTGATGGGATGGTGGCCCTCACGTGCTGTCACATTTTTGGAGAATCATGATACTGGATCCACACAGGTCTCTCTTTCTTGCTAACAAACGCACACATACACACACAGATTTACATGTCCACTTGTGCTCTCTCACTCATTCAGTGAGACAGATGGCCAACGTAAATGCATTACATGGAGGTAAACTATGTTTCATTCGCCGTCATTTAATTTAGTTCAGAGCTTTTGGTTCGAATTATCCTTTAAGTTTGGCCAAAAGATTAAGTGGGTCCCTCTGTACGCCCTCCCAATTTCAAACACTTGACAAGTTCGGTCCCATATTAGGTAGTCGTCACTTTCGGACAAAAAGATAGGTATGCAAGCAGCACATGACTGCACTCTGCTTCTTGCCCTTTGGCTCCTTTTTCCATTTTTGCTTGCAGAATACGAAATAGAATGGGCATTTTATGCAGCTTCTCCCCCCAGGCTCTCTCACTGTGAAATCAGACAAAACCCAGTTTTTCCAACAGCTAATCAATTTCCAGTAGCTGGTATCTTGAGGGATGTAGCAGAAAAGAGTTCAGGATAGCCATAAGTGGGATCTCCATCGAAGAGCAACCTAAGAACTCGTAGCAGAGATCGTGGAAGTTCCAAGCCAGCCTTCTCATACAAGTGAATTAATAGAGTTAACCTAAGCTAATCTTTCACAATCCTCCAGAATATGAGCACTTCTGTTTCTGGAGAAGACCAACTTCTTGCCATGAGATCTTTGGTTAAATGACCTTTGAAACCATGCTAGGTTCAAGACTGACCCAAGGAACTAAATACATAAATGAAATTGTCCAAGTTTGAAACTTTAGATAATAGTTTCAAGCGGAACTAATACTAGTCCTTGTTCTTCATCCTTCATTAGCACCCTCTGATTGCTGCAATTAACTGAGCAGGCAGTATGTAAATAGAAAGAGCTGAAAGGTATTGACAGGAAGTCCTTGGAAACCGAAAGCTCTGAATTTGCTTTCAAACAGTAAATCAAGCCTTACGAAGCCTGATTCTACCATGTCATCATGTATGGATCCACCTTCATGTGTCAACAACTCCGACCTGAACATTTCCCTCTTAGATTTAGCCTCAGAAAAAGACTTCCAAAACCTTGGGCTTTCCCACTTCCCAGAGGCATATGTAATGGTTTTTACTGGGAAAAAGGAGTGATGAACACGAGAGAGAGAATTTCTCCTGGCGGAAAGGAGAACATTCACCTGAGGTGCACATGACAGTTCTGTTAAAGCTTGACAGAATGTTAACTTCTGGAGAAAAGAACTACTCCCTCCATTTCAATTTGTTTGAACCTATTTGACTGGGCACGTAGTTTAAGGAAAAAGAGAATACTTTTAAAACTTGTGGTCTAAAACAATCCATACATGCTATAAATCATGTTATTAAGGGTAAAAGGGAAATTTTAAAGTTTGATTGTTTCCAAATTTAGAAGGGGCTCATTCTTTTTAAACCGACTAAAAAGGAAATAGGTTCGTTCTTCTTGAAGCAGAGGGAGTAAATCTTTGCAGATGGAGATGTTATTTTGTTAACTATAATTTTAGAGGGAACCACTCGATCTTTTGGCCAAATTGAGGAAAGTTTTCGGAAAAAAATTGTAAGTTCAGTGTCACCTAAAATCTTGGGGTAATCCAAAAATATATTCTGTTAATATAGTTTTAGCTTTTCATTTTGGATTCCATTGGTAATGAGGATTCGGAATATCACATATTGATTAATCAAAGAGAGATTCAACAACGAAAGGGAAGATCGATTAAGATCTCCATATGCAGCTTTACATCTGCATTTGTCCTTAGAAGTTAAATAAACAGAGTAGTTCAGGCATGAGATTCAGCTTTCCTTTGAGAGATTTGGAATTTCGAACTTTAAGTTCACAAGTGAAAGTGTTTAGTCTACGGGATCACATACCAAAACAGAGCTTGGTGTGAGGATCTGTTGAGCATGGCTCTGAGATGGTACTCAGGCTAACCAAGACGTTTATTAAGCAATGTGCTAGCCAACATTTATGCTGAGCTAGTTAGAGTCTTGTATCTTGGTCTCAATCATTTGATACTCGTCACGATATCTAAATCTGAGTTATTTATTCCCCTTCCCCCCC